AAAAAAAACGTAAACTTATTTTATTTCAGCTGACTGCCAAGGCAACATTTCTCATTTTCATTAGTTTGAGTTGAAGTACTTAACTAAAACTATAAACAAAAAATAAAACTATAAAGGCTTTAAAAAAAAAAAAAAAAAAAGACAACACACACAACAAAATTGGTCCGTGTAAATTACTAAAATTTAAAATGAAAATAGAACATAAAGCAGATTTATTTATTTATTATTTATTTACACCGAAACAAAGGCGAAAAACAAAAAGAATGATTACGATTTTTTATTTGTATAAACTAAACATCACACATATACACACACACATAAAGACAACATTTCTAATTTTCATTTAGCTTAAGTTAAAGTATTAAAATAACTTAAACTAAAACCTAATAAATCTAGACATATTGTAAAAATAAACAAATAAAAATGACAAAACACACAACAAATTTACTAAAAATGTAACTACAATTAAACTGAAAACAAAAAATATAAAAATAAAATCTAATTCAAAATATTAACTAAAACTATAATAGTTTATTAATTAATGATAGTAAAATAACTATGTGTCCAGTGCAACTACAACACTGCACATTTGTTTGTAAGACTGTAAGTTTTGACCTATTTTCTTGGTGTGAGTTTGTTTTCTCTGATATATTATGCACAAGGATTAGTGCTTGTCATTTCACAAGAGTCAACGGTGAGTCAAGAACAAAGTTATAAGGAAGTAGTTATTATAAAAGAAGACTAACTAGTAAAACAAGTGTTAGTGCACTACTGTTGATATAAACTGTCATCATTACAGAACTGCACAGGTATGTTTCTTTTACAAGACGATTTGTACATTTTATATTATAAGGCAGTTTAGCACATTAAAACATACAGTAGATTGCGATATTTACTTGTTGCATGGCTTGATGTTATTTGTGTTTCAGATGCCTCATTATTTCAACAGTCTCAGAAGTGAAACATTATTGTCTGTAAGTCTTGTTTGGAGAAACTGCAAAAGAAGTTCAACGACTCTGAGAGCAAAGAAATGAACAACTGCATCTTCAGTAATGAATCATAACTAATGTGTGTGATATAAACGTTCTCTAAAGCAAAAGATATTTGCATTTTTGCATCCATGGATCCAGGTTACTTAAACTATACCCAGTGATGTTGGTCTGCCAACTTATCCCACTGAACGCTTTTTAGTTTTCTTGCAAGCAACGCTGTGAAAAGCCAGTGGAAATGTCACATGCATCTAAGTCCCCAGAAAGCCTTGTTGCGTCGCAGGTCGATCACCTCTCCAGTCTGAAGGCTTTGACTGAGAAGCTGAAGCTGGAGACCAGAAAGCCGTCTTACCTGGACTGGAGAGCGCAGCTGGAAGCGATGCTTGCCCAGAGCCACAGAGACTCAGAGCCGCCAGGGGCCCCCAGTGACACAGAGAAACAGAGAACATCAGGCCCTGTCAAGTGGACGAAGCCGTCACTGGCCGTTAGTGTGGTCCATGAAGGGAGGCAGTCGTTAGGAAACACACTTGGATTTGGAAGTATAGACCAAGCGCTGGAGTGGCTCAGGAAAGAGCTGGTGAGTTTTTCAACTTGGTTTCTGTATTAATAAATGAAAAAAAAAAAAAAAAAAGCTGTGATTTAGTATTTGGATTGTGCAGTTGTTGTAAAGTCGTCTTTCTTTGTTCTTAGTGAAAAATTGAAATCGCATCATATGACCCCTTTAATGAATCACTGATTCATGGACATTTGACAGCACCACCTGCTGGTGTAACAATGTAAATAGCACTGAAAGAATAAAAAAGTGTTTTTGTTTAATCATTTGGGAAAAAATCCACAGTTATAAATAAAAATCTACACCACTAGTTTAAGCAGCTTGAAATGTCAACCTCAGTTTCAACCTGTTTGCTAAACAAAAGCAGGTTCTGACCGAAGAGAAGGCTGGAGAGTTCAGGAAACCTGTTTGGAAACAATTATTAGTTTTACTGCCATAAGTGCTGCAGATGCCACACAATAAAATGCATTACATATACAGGATTCAGGGAAGGCTTTAACTGTGTGTTTTTACCCTTCTGTCGCAGGCAGAGATGCGTTTGCAGGACCAGCAGCTCGCGCGTCAGCTAATGCGCCTGCGCAGTGACATCAACAGCCTGAGAATCGTGCAGACGTGTAACCAACACCGCAGAATGCTGAACGACGCCACGTTTGAGCTGGAGGAGCGGGACGATATGTCTGACCTGTGTGACGTCCCCATGTCTCCTGGATTAGGCCTCTCAGAGTCGCTCAAGGTCATCGGGGTCACCAAGATGAACATCAACTCTCGCCGGTTCTCCCTGTGCTAACACAGCACACAGTTTTATCTTACATGAATGATTGTGAGTGTTTTAATACAGGGGTCTCCAACCTTTTTTACACCATGGACCGGTTACGTTTGGAAAATATTCTCGCGGACCAGTAGGTCTATAGTATTATAATAGCATTATATAGTGGTTCAACGCATTATATTGTGGGGTTTTTTTGAGTCACAGATCGGACTATTTTTTCGGATAAGCAAGAAAA